GCCGCGCTCGGCAGCCCGCCCTGCGCCCCACCACCCCGCACACCATCACCCTGCAGCCCTCCTCCTTCCGCAACCTGCGCCTGCCCAAGCGCCTCAGGGTCATCTACTTCTTCGCACGCACCCGCCTGGCACAGAGGCTCATCATGGTACGTCGTGAGGGGTTTGGGACCCAGTGCCTCTTCCCCATGGGCACTGACCCCCCAACAGGCTTCCAGAGGGGCAAAAGCCCAACATTTTCCTCTATCCTTGTTCCCAGTGCAAGTCTCGTGCTGCCTCGTGGTAAATATAATATAATCTGCTTTCTATAAGCAGATTTTCAAGACTTTGAGTCTTGGGATGATTTTTACAAGCAGAAGTCATGGGTTGTTCCTGCAGATCATGTGGTCTGTTTAGGGGATATTTAGGGGATATTCTGCTGCATGAAACACTTAAAGCTTCACCTTTTCCAGGTGTGAGCACAGTGTTTACACCAGTTACTGCCCCTGCATGTCTCCCATCTCCATTTTGGGTGTCTCTAATGGGATTGGAGGAATCTTTGTGTTCCTTGGCTCTGCAGACCCCATTCCAGCCAACAGTGGCAGTTTAAGTTAAATCCCCATACAGGAGCTGTGGATGCTGCATCGAGTCCTGCACAAATCAGGATTCAGAACCCCAAACTGAGAGATTCCAGCCCTGTTTGGGGATGTCAGACCTGCTGGTCCCATCTGTCAGCACGAATCTCCTCCCTGCTGTGTGTTTTGCAGGGAGAATTGGGATTCTGACCCTAGATGGATCAGGAAAAGTGGCATCCAGGTTTGATGTGTGCTGTGCAGCTCTCCCAGTCCCCTTGTGGGATCAGTACTGGGAGTAAGGTTACAGCAGAGTGTGGATGTACCTGTGGTTGAGGAATGTGGATCAGCTCAGACAGGTGACTGTGGTGGTACTAAAGGGACTTGTCTGTGCTCACCCCGCGCAGGCTGGGACGGTGATCTGGATCGGAATCCTGGTCTACACGGATCCTGCTGGTCTCCGCACCTACCTCACGTCACAGGTCACTGAGCAAAGCCCCTTGGGTGAGGCAGGTCTGCCCCCCATGCCTGTCCCTGGAGGGGTCCTGCCTGCTGGGGACCCCAAGATCGACCTCTCCGTGTTCCCGTCGGAGCCGATCCAGCTGTCCGAGAACCAGACGCAGCAGCGGGAGCAGAAGTCGGGGCTGGAGGCCCTGAGCAGGCTGGAGCCAAACCAGCACAGCTGGGCCCAGGGACCAGAGGGCAGAGGGAATGGGCAGGTGGAGCTTGGCACAGAGGCAGAGGTCACCTGGGGAGCAGAGGATGAGGAGATCTGGAGGAAGCTTTCCTTCAGGCACTGGCCGTCCCTCTTCAGCTACTACAACATCACCCTGGCCAAGAGGCAAGTGAGCTGGCCCTGAGTGCCACAGGCAATGGGATTCATGGAATTTGTCTTTCTTCTGTCCTTCATCCTCTCGAGTCATATAACCTGTGCCATATAACTATATAACCTGTGTCATATAACTATAATGGGGGTCACTCCAGGGCTGTCTTCAGGACGAGGCTGATGAGCAGGTCCTCGTGGGTGGGCAGAGCTCCCAAACTCTCTGGGACTATTTTTCTGGGAATGAGGGTTGTTTCTCTCCATGCTCTTGAGTGTTTTATGTGTTTGATATCTTCCTTGACCCTGGAGGTGAAGTTTAAAGTTTTGTAACCTGATAAAAGAACACTCAGGGAGACCTTCTGGCTCTCCACAGCTCCCTGACAGGAGGTGCAGCCAGGTGGGGGTTCAGGCTCTGCTCCCAGGGAACAAGGGACAGGATGAAAGGAAAGAGCCTCAAGCTGTGCCAGGGGAGGTTCAGGTTGGATATTGGGGAAATCCCTCCTGGAAAGGGCTGTCAGGCACTGGAACTGCCCAGGGCAGGGGTGGAGTCACCATCCCTGGAGGTGTTCAAGGAACAACTAGACGCTTGGGGCCGTGGTTAGTGATGGTTTTGGCAGTACTGGGGAACGGTTGGGCCCTGGTCTCACATGGCTTTTCCAACCTCAGTGATCCTCTGGTTCCACGATATAACCATCTGTAAGTGATGGGGATGGTACATGTGAGGACGAGACACCTGAGCTGAAGAAATTTCTTGGTGAGACCCTGGTCTATAGCGCACAGGAAACTGGACCAGATCTTTGTATTCATACTTAAATCCATGGGATCCGTTTGATCTCATCAGTAGCTCATTCCACTGTTGACTCTTTGAAGGGTGAAACCCTGGGAAACACCTTTAGAGAATATTTCCAAGGAGATTTTTAGTTTAGGACACCTGAAATTACTGTCTGGAAGCACCTCAAGACCTACCATGGCTGCTGGCAGGAAGATGCTCTCTGTCACCTGTCAGGATTCCTGTGTCTCCTTTGTTGTTCCTAAGCTGTTCTCCCCTCTCCACCCCTTCAGGTACATCAGCATCCTGCCAGCCATCCCTGTCACGCTGTACCTGAACCCACAAGAGGCCTTAGAGGTGCGACATCCCCAGGAGGCCACGCGATACCACCCCTTCCTGGCCACGGGCACGGGGAAGCTGGAGGCTGGGGCTCAGCCTGACCACTCGGCCAAGCTTCACGGCCACCAGGATGTCACCCTCTACAAGTAAAATGTCCTCCTTGCAGCCTTCTCACCCTGTCCCAACTCCCTGGGGACTCTGGGCATGGTTTGGGTTGGTTCTGCTGGGAGATCAAAAAAGCTTCAGTGCCAGACCCCATGGTGACACTCGAGTGTGAAACTACATCTCTCCTGGCACTTTTCTGTCAGCTGAGGGCCGGAGTGGTGTGAGCATCGAGGCTCTTGGTGCTCATGGTGCATTACAGGGTTTGTCACTGGGTGTCAGGGACAGGAGATCAATTTGGGGTATAAATGTCATGATTTATTGGATGTTAAGTCAGACTCTGGTACAAGGAGCTTCCTTCCCCCCAGAGAGGACAACTCACAGCTCCCTGCCTGGGTCTGCAGTTCTTCAGCTGTGCTGAACACGCTTTGTATCATCCCAATCCTGTCCAATGTTTTCTGAAAGTCCTAGCTGCTCTCTCACTGAAAAACCTCAAAATGTTGTTGAAACCATCATTTTCCCCTGAAAAAACCCTTTAATTTTCAACAAATACCTGTAGTTTGTTGAAAATCTCCCTCAGCTGAGGACTTCAGGCCAGCGCATCTGTAAATGCTGGCACAGCATTTTGCAGTTCAGACTAGAAATTGGATCTTTTACCCCTTTTCACTCACATTCTCCTTGTGTTTGTGTCTGTGTGTCCCCCCAGGGTGGCTGCTCTGGGTCTGGCCTCAGGCATCATCCTGGTGCTGCTGCTCTTCTGCCTGTACCGAGTGTTCTGCCCCAAGAACTATGGGCAGAACGGGCACAGCCGCAGGAGGAGGGGAGACCTGCCCTGTGATGACTATGGCTACTCCCCCCCTGAGACTGAGATCGTCCCCCTGGTCCTCAGGGGTCACCTCATGGTAGGTCTCACCTGTGTAGGACATTGTAGCATGAAATTCCTGATGCACTTTCCCATTTCCCCCTGGGACTTTGCTCTCTGCAATTCCTGTTGTCACTTTCTCTGGCTTCCATTCCCTGCTGTGCTGGGGCAGCTTCACATTCCTGATGTTTCATGCCTACTGGATCCTGTTTTCCTGCTTCAGAAAAGTTAGTGCATGAGCTTGAGCTGTTCAGTGTTGTTTCCAGTGCTCAAAGCATCCATGGGTTTGCATGGAAGTGTGCTGCTGCTGCACACTTCAGTCAGTTTTCCTCAGGGGAAAGATGTTTCTTCAGGAGCAATTTCTTCATGGAAAGGGCTGTCAGGCATTGGAAGGGGCTGCCCAGGGAGGTGGTGGAGTCACCGTCCCTGGAGGTGTTTAAGGAACAACTGGAGGTGGCACTGAGTGCTCTGGTCTAGTTGACAAGGTGGTGATGGGGTCACAGGTTAGACTTGATGGTCTTGGAGATCTTTTCCAGCCTTAATGATTCTGCAATTCTTCCCATTCTGAGATGAAGCAAAGGATTCAGGTGTCCAGACAGATGAATTTGAAACACTGTGCTGTGTCTCCCAGAGAAGCTGTACCTCTGTTCCTGATGCTGTCGTCAATTTGGGACAGACTGTCAGGGAAAGGGAAAGCAGGTGGAGTCAGTTGAATCTGCAGCACCCTGGCAGAGATCATGGTATCCCAGCATCCCAGACTGGTTTGAGTTAGGAGAAACCTTAAAGCCTGTCTAGTCCCACCCCATGCCATGGGCAGGGACACCTTCCCACTAGCCCAGGTTTCTCCAAGCCCCATCCAGCCTGGCCTTGAACACTCTCAGGGATGTCCATGGTGCCACACTCAGCTGTGCTTGTCCTTCCTTCCTCCCAGGACATCGAGTGCCTGGCCAGTGATGGGATGCTGCTGGTTAGCTGCTGCCTGGTGGGGCAGATTCGCGTGTGGGACGCACAGACAGGTGACTGCCTCACCGTCATCCCCAAACCCAGGTATGTTTGTGCCTGTGTACTGTCACTCTGCTCTTGGGAAACACCTCTGCCCAGGTCCTCAGGTCCTCACATCCCTCCACGGAGGGAGCACCTCTGCCCAGGTCCTCAGATCCCTGCTCTGAGAGGTCACTCCCATGAGGAACCTGGCAGCAGAGTGGTCCTGAGCTCTATCCTTTGTTCCAGGTTGCGCAGGGACAGCAGTGGCATCTTCGATTACCAGGAGGGTTGGGACCCCAGTCCAGAAGGGAAGAATGGGTTGGAGGACTCCTTTGAGAGCAGCCACCAGCTCAAACGGCTGCTGGGGCCCCCCCAGCCCCCCCTGTTCTGCGACCAGCCTGACCTCACCTCCCTCATCGACACCAACTTCTCGGAGCAGGTGAAGGTGGCTGAGTCGGAGCCGCGGCTCCGGGCCGTGGGCAGCCGCCACAGGGACACAGGCTATGACTTCAGCAGCCTGGTGGGGAAGGTGTACGAGGAGCACAGCAGCTCCAGCTGCAGGAATGTGAACTTCCCAGGGCTCTCAGCCCACCACGGCCCCCCTGGACTCTGTGGGGGCAGTGGCCGTGCCATGGCCTGTGGCCATGATGACAGCAGCTGCCGCAGCCTTGGGGACAGGGGCCTGGGGGACAGGAGCTTTGGGGACGAGTCCTGCACAGGATGTGACAAGTCCTCATCCCTTCCCTCCTGGGGAGGGGACCTGGAGAGCTCTGTCTGGAGCCTGGACCTGCAGGGGAACCTGATCGTGGCTGGACGGAGTAATGGGAAGCTTGAGGTAAGTGAGGAGTAGGGATGGAGGAATTGGAATGTGGAGGTGAGGAGTAGGGACAGTAATGGGAAGGTGGAGGTGAGTGAGGAGGAGGGATGGAGGAATGGGAAGGTGAAGGTGAGGAGTAGGGATGGAGGAATGGGAAGGTGAAGGTGAGGAGTAGGGATGGAGGAATGGGAAGGTGAAGGTGAGGAGTAGGGATGGAGGAATGGGAAGGTGAAGGTGAGGAGTAGGGATGGAGGAATGGGAAGGTGAAGGTGAGGAGTAGGGATGGAGGAATGGGAAGGTGAAGGTGAGGAGTAGGGATGGAGGAATGGGAAGGTGAAGGTGAGGAGTAGGGATGGAGGAATGGGAAGGTGAAGGTGAGGAGTAGGGATGGAGGAATGGGAAGGTGGAGGTGAGGAGTAGGGACAGTAATGGGAAGGTGGAGGTGAGCAGGGACACAGGAATGGGAAGGTGGAGGTGAGGAGCAGGGACAGTAATGGGAAAGTGGATGTGAAGAGCAGGGACACAGGAGCAGGTTGCTGTTCCCTGGTGACATAGCTCAGGGGTCAGGAGCATAGCACAGGAAGCTGTTGTGGATCCCCAGCCCCTCCGTGTGGGGTGGCTGTCAGGTCAGGACCACAGCAGTGACCCCTCCTGCCCCCAGGTGTGGGATGCCATCGAGGGGACCCTCCGCAGCAGCAATGATGAAGGTCAATCTGGTATCACAGCACTCGTCTTCCTCAACAACAGGTAATTGATGGTACCAGGGGTGAGCCAGATCCCAGCCCTGACCTCCATGGCAACTCCAGACAGCAGAGGCTCAGCTGGGAAGTCTGTTCCTTAGAATCATGGAATATCCTGAGTTGGAAGGGATCCTCATGGATCATGGAGTCCAACTCCTGGCCCTGCGCAGGACACCCCAACAATCCCACTATGTCCCTGAGAGCATTGCCCAAATGCTCCTTGAGCTCTGTCAGGCTTGGGGCTGTGACCACTGCCCTGTTCCAGTGCCCACCCACCCTCTGAGGGAAGAACCTCCTAATATCCGACCTGATACCCAGCTTTGTCCTTCTGTGTGTCCACCTTATCCGTTCCCCATGTGTGGAGTGACCTTTCCTGGCTCCAGGTCTACTCCAGCATCCAGACCTTCATTCTTCAGTCTTCCCAGTGGTTGACTATCCACAAGGTTTCAGGGCTGTGAGACCTTTGGATCCCTGGTTTCTGTAGCTGCTATTCCAGAGGCACTGCCATCCACCAGTCTATTCCAAGCTTTATATGATCTCCAAGCCCAGTTCTCTGCAGCCTCCTCCTGGGGAGCCTGGTGGTCTGTGCCCTGCCCTGGGGGATGCCTGGTCCTGGGGCTCTGGGAAGGGCCTCTCCTCACCCCCGTTTCTCCCTCAGGATTGTGGCTGCCCGGTTGAACGGCTCTTTGGATTTCTTCTCACTGGAGACACACACATCCCTAAACCACCTGCAGTTCCGAGGTGAGCAAGTGTCACGAGTGGCTGCACTGCCCTGGGCTCCTTCCTCTGCCTCCTCCCTCTTCCCCTCATAGCTGACTCTTCCTCACACCCACTTCAGCTTCGGGAGTACCACAGCCCACCCCAAACTGCTCCATGGAGTAACTGGTTTGCAGAGCAAGGCCTCCTTTGGTTCTGGAGTGGATGATTTAGATGGGATATTGGGAAGAGATTACTCCCTGTGAGGGTGGTGAGACACTGACACAGGTTGCCCGGAGAAACTGTGTCTGCCCCATCCCTGAAAGTGTTCCAGGCCAGGTTGGATGGGACTTGGAGCAACATGGGCTAGTGGAAGGTGTCCCAGTCCATGGAATGTGATGATCTTTAAAGTCCTTTCAACCCAAACCATTATGTGATGTTGCTGAAAATGTGCTCAAGAAAACTCCTTATGGGAGACTCCTAAAAAGCTCAGCTGCCATGTGATACGGGGAAGACAGAGGTTGATTCTAGGAGAGGCGAAAAAAAGATCACAAGGGTGGAACGAGATGGGCTTTAAGGTCCTTCCCACCCAAACCAGTCTGAGATTCTGTGACCCTGTTGAGCAGTTGTTTATGAGCACTGAGCCACTGTAGCTTCAGTCTTGAGTGCTGAGTGTTGAAGGCCAGCCCCAAATTCCCTAAAATCCGTCATCCAGGCATCCCTGAGCCACACCATTGCAAGGCGACCGTACTCCCGCATGTCTCACACAGGTGCCCCGAGCCGGAGCAGCATGCCATCCTCGCCGGTGCTCAGCAGCAGTGACGTGGTGCTGTGCCAGCTCACCCACACCGTGTCCTGTGCCCACCACAAGCCCATCACGGCGCTGAAGGCGGCAGCTGGGCGGCTGGTCACGGGCAGCCAGGACCACACGCTCAGGGTGAGCCCCCCTCAGCCCTGAGGTGCGGGGTGGGACCTGAGCTTAGCTTGTCCCAGGGCACAGAGGGAGGTGGGACCTTGGGGTGGGGGTTGGAGGCCAACCTGGAGCATTCTGGAAGCTCCTTTTCCCCAGGCTGAGCCCTCCCAGCATCCTCAGTTGCTCCTGGTGCTCCAGCCCCTTGCCCAGCTCCATTGCCCCTCTCTGGTCTCGCTCCAGCATGTCAACATTTTTCTGGTTGTGAGGGGCCCAGAACTGAAACCAGGGTTCAAAGTGCCTCACCAGTGCTCTATACAGAGGGTGATCCCTGCCCTGGTCCCACTGGCCACACTATTGCTGATACCAGGTTTTTTTATGTTTTGTCACCTGGACTCATGTTCAGCCACTGTCACCAGCACCCTCAGGGCCTTTTCTGGCCCCTCTGCCCCACACAAGGAGCATTCCATGGTGGTGTTGTGACCCACTGTGAATATCAGCATCTGGGTTGTGGGGTGTTCTCTGTCCTTTCCTCATCCCCTTCAGCCGTGCATGTCACTGCCCTATCACTGCCCAACAACCATGACTTACCCCTGCCCTGGGCTGGATCCCGTGACCTCTGGAATCCCTGTCAGGCTCTGGGGATCCACAGGGATCTGTTGTGTCCTTAGCTGGAGTGGTGAGCTCAGGTTGCACCACTGCAGCCCAGCTGCCCCCAGAGTCCCTCCCCTGCCTCTCCTGCCCAGGTGTTCCGGCTGGAGGACTCGTGCTGCCTGTTCACACTGCAGGGCCACTCGGGAGCCATCACAGCCGTGTACATCGACCAGGTACAGGGGGAAGCTCTGTGTGGCTGTGGAGCTCAGACCTGAGCTCAGACCTGGGGTGATAACTGGGCCCATACCTGAGCCCAT